TGCTGAGTTCCTCTCAGTGTGGAGCTATCAAAGTCCTTGGTGATCTCAGACCTATTTCTCCGTGCTTAAAGAGCACCTGGTAAATCTGCTGCTTCCCAGCCTCCTCCTAAAGCAGTCTCTGGAAACTCCTGGAATTTTTGCTTGTCTTTATTATTTGCTTTTAATACTGCCTTGATTTGCAAATGAATACTTGTCGTCTTGATTTTCTGCCTCTCACCACAGAGAAAAACGTGTTAGTTGCATGGGGGGTATAATTTCTATATCCATTCAGATCAACCACAGACATGTAAAGAAATGAAGTAAAAGTGACAGCATTCCATATACTAGAGCTCTAGTGAGTGTAAGCTGAATGCATGTATTTTGATGCGCCTTTATACTGCAAGCATGCATTGTGTTGCCTCCTCTTGTTTGGTGAACAGACCTTCAGAGAATTATATATAATACTGGCTGCCTTTGTTTCTAGTGATGTTCATAATTATGGCAGCAGCTATCCCTGTATTTCGTTACAGATAGAAGATCTGTCAGATGAAGTTTTTTCCGTACGTCATACAAAGTATGAAAAAAGAGAGCGAGCAAGGTGGTCGCTGTGGGAGCAGAGCCGCTGGCCCAGAAGGAATAGCAGGCAGGTGTATTGACTTTGATAAGAGCGTTCCTATTGAACCACTGGTGTCTGCTGTTGGTGCAGCAGTTTCAGAAATGCTGTCACAGAGAACTCTGAAAATGAGGGCATTCCTCATTAATTAACTCATCAGGGACAGTACCAGGTATGTTTGGTTTTGTGGCTGAAAAGGGAAGGCCGTGCAGTTCTGAAGCATGCATACTTACAGAAATTCGGCATGTTAGTGACCTGGCATTAGTGAATAAAAATCTTACCCCCATACTGAACACACAGCTCTGCTAGTTTGTGCCACTCCCCATTATTACGACTTTAGCCACCAAGTGCATAACATGAGCCCTTCTTCACTCACCTGACTTAGATGAAAGTCCACTGCCTTCAGAGACGTGTTAGTGCAGGGTCCTGGGCTGTGCCAGGGACCTTGTGTTTTAAAAAGTCATTGTGTGAAAAAGTTAAATTATCATAGGCTTGCTGTCTGATGCAAAACTCATCAGAATTAAATATAACCCCTAAAAGTCTTGCAAAAAGTAGTGAACATAAGAGCAAACATCATAAAGCTGTATCTGCATTTTGGCTCTGGGAAAATGATTCCCATAAATTGCTTCAGAATCTGCCACGACAAAAAGCATCCTATAAACGGTGGATAACTTTTTCTGCTATTTATCATATGCTTGTGTCTGCTCTTGGCTGAAAGTGAACCATGACACTGAATATATATGCAAAGATACCTTTTTTTAAATGCAGAATAAAATTAGAGCTAAACCATATTAAGGAAATATATTTTAAGCCATTTTCAACATAAAAACGCTTTAGAAAGTGTACTGAAAAATAGAAGTTCTGTATGTACCCTTAATTTTGAAACTCCACGAACTCCTTGGTGAAATCTTAGTGCTATCTGAATTCAGAAGTAAAACTGCTGTTGACATGAGCAAGGTCAGACTTCCACCTGGCATTTAAGACGCGTGCCAGTATTTCATATCTAGTTCAAATTTGCGTTAAAGGCGAGGTCAAAATTTTTAATCTTACTAAATTATTTTGACTACTTTGGAGATGAGTCCAGAGCAGAGGTGGGAAGGGGGGAGCCCAAGGACCTGCTGTTTTTTCTCGAGTTACATTGGCACAGTCTGCTGACAGTGCAGTTTGGACTCCACAGGCTCCTGTGAATGATGCCATGTTCCCCTGAGTGGGAACAGCCCACAGCTCACTGACTTCCATCCAAAATTGCAGTTCTGGTGAGTGTGTGAAGCAAGGTGCAGGAGTGGGACCAGCCACTAGCTGTTCTGCAGCCAGAGCGTGCCTGTTCCAGCCCTGGTTTATCCAGTTAGCTCCTCCACATAGCACTCTTTGCTTTGGCTTGTGACAGCGAGGTTGTCAAGAACCATGTGTGTTTTCATCTGCTTTTTTGATTTAAGTAGAATATAGGTAGCATGTATGGAGAAAGTGACCACTTTGAAAAGAAAATCTGAACTGTTCCTGGTGATGTGAAAGGGCAGGGGCTAGTTCCTAAGACTCTCATCTCTTATCCTGCACTAGATCTTACAGCAAAAATGCTGATGGACGACACAGCCAAGATGTGGTGCAGAAAGACCACCACGGCAGCTCCTGTGCTTCGCTGCATTGCACCACTGAACCTGTTCCCGACTTGACTTCGGAAGCCCACAGCTCTGTTTGTTCAGGGATTGCACAACGCTGCAGGGAGAGCCAGGAAGCAAAGGTGGGTGCTTCCAATAGCTTCCGGGTCTGGTCAGGTCTTCAGTGACCACTATCTCTAACCTAAAACAAAGAACCTGAACTCTCCTGTCTCCCTGATCAGTCTCTCAGGCTGTTGCCCTAGTTTGTGTAGACTGAATGTAGCGCTCCTGTTTAGAGCTAGATTGCTATGCTTTATGAATTAAGCCCAAGATTTGTCAACAGGTAAAAATTTCATTGCTCAGCACACATGGCACATGTTTTAAAGGCAAGTATGGCAGGCCTGGGTTCAGGGATGGACGATGGATCTTTTCTCAGGGGTGCTGGCCAGCATTCCAGATGGGGCTGATCATTATGGGGTCAGGTATCCTGACGGTCTGGCACCATGGAAAAGAGCTTCCCCCTTCCTGTACTGTGCGTTCAATTGTAGCTCTGTTACTAGTTCAAAACCTTATGAAGCCAGCTTACATTGACAGCTGGTGCCTAGCAGTGTCGTATTCTTTATCTGAAGAGCCCTGCAAACATTGTAAAGAAAGACACTCATTTGTTACTTGATAGCAGATCATTCTGCACATAGCTAATCAGTTCAGACTCAACTGAAATCCCTTTTTCCCCTCTTTTCTCTTTTTCCACCCTCACTCCTACCCTTCTGATTCCTTTCAGTCTGGGCTGTGGGAACTTCGAGTTTTTCCACTAAAAGATGAAGAGGTGGAAGCTTTACTGTGCCAAGATCAAATAACAAATCAGACTGAAATGTCAAGTGCAGCTTTTCCCAGCGACTCTCTCTGTACTTCATGCACACCCATTGGTTTGCCAGACAATGGCCATCCACCAAGAAAACAATCTACCGAAGAGTCAGAAGACTGCGAAAATGTTTGCCTGGGAATCAACAATACAAGAAAGCAAAGGTGACAGGGAATAATGTGGTTCATTAAGAAAGCCAATTAAGGTGGAGAAAAGTGTAAGGTAAAATCTCTCTTGTTCACACAGCATATGACAGCACAATTCAAAACCTGTACCTTAGCTGCATATAATATATTTTCTTTCTTGCTTTGTAACAGGCAGGATAAATCCCAAAGACAACACTTTCTTCTTCCTGAACCCCAAGAGAAAGTAATTATTTCAAGCTGGAAGTCTAATATTCCCAGTGTCGGGAGTGGGCGCACATAAATTGCTGGCACCATTCACTTTCTGTTGTCGTATTGCCACAATTGTTAATAATCATCCTTTTCTGTTTTGTTTGTTTTCAAATGCGTTTCTGGTTCTAGTGGATTCTGGTGCAGCAGGATATGCTGTCTACCTTAACCAACAACTTCAACTGAACACAGAAAAACTACTTGAAAAAATAGTGGGAAGAAGCAATAGCCTCAGATTATTTTCCTGTGTGGCATGACCATGGGGCAAAAATCTGCCTCTCTAAATGCATTTGTGTAACACATGCATAAGATAAGGGTAGGTGAGAACCTGCAGTTTCAGAGCAGGCATTCTGGAAGCCTTGCATCTAGCTTAAAATCTGTACTCAGCTCTCATTAGTGCCAGGGCATGTTTCATATAGATGTCCTCAAGCAATAAGATAGAAATAGACCACTGCATTTCAATAGTCGATATATCTGCTACTCAGAAAGTAGGGTTTCTGCTTCAGTTGTGTGGGTATAAAGAAAAGGAAGGAAACAGGAGTCGAGTCCAATCAGTGATGCAGCTCTTTGAATATTGTGGTTTTGGGTCATCTTAATTCCTTAGTCCTTCAGTAGCTAATGAGGCTCATAATATTTTGCTTTAGTACGTTAAAAGACAAAGTCTTGTTCAAATTTCTGTACAGTGCCTTGTAAGAGTCTCGTAAGTATGCCAACATTTGGTGACTAGCTGAAAAGGAAAAGATGATTGATGTCTAGAAGACCAATAAAGAAGAAAGCCCCAAAGCTTTCCATTGTGATTCCCAGATAGATTTTTTTAATTTCCCAGCAAGTTCACAGTGAGGGAGGAAACAAAAGCAAGTTGTTTAAACTTGCATCTAAATAGCATAGTTTGGAATGTATCTAAAATCTCAAGAGGTATTAACAAAGATTAAACATTGAATGTAGGTATAATCCATCAACAGGAAGTTTTTCTGTGTAGGACAGTTGAAGGCAATTTTATAGGAGTCTGGTTTTGTGCAAAATTTTCTTCCATGTGTAATATCTGGAATGGCACTGGACAGATGACCCAGTTTTAGCTTCAAATTTTTTTTTTTTTTTTTTTTGGTCAAAATGACAGGAATTATGCACTGGGCATCTGAAAACAGTTCAGTAAAGTTTCACACTACAACCTATTGCTACATTGTAGTTTATTGCACATTCTGATTATTTTTTCAAACACTTTTTTAACACTGGTTTGTCTTAAACTTGAATCTTGCCTCAATGTCTGATACAATAATCTTTGATGCAAGGTTGTTTTTTTAATTAAAAGTTATTTCTATATGTGTTGTATATAGTCTGAATTTCATGGCCTTTTGGAATTGAAGAAATAGCAGTAATGCTTCCTCTTTGCAGAGACCTGCTTGGCCCAAGAATGGCTTTGCAAACGCACTGAAGCGGCAGCGGCGCTAAGCTTTGCTGTTGTACTGAAGCTACGCTGGTGCTGTGAGGCTAAGGTCCCCCCAGCGTCTGAATAGAGAGGTGGATTTTTCCATCTCTCTTCCCCTGCATGTGTATCTGCTGCTGGGGAAATGTTTCTGAAAGTCATATGTCTCAAATGCTTTGCAGGTCTTTTCCATACCCATATCCGTTCATTAAGACATCTGATCTGACCGGTCTCACCCAGCTTTGGTGTAAGGTCAGGGCTTCCTGCTCTGTCTGATCCCTGGCGCAGTGAGAGGAGTTTCTGCAATTTAAGAGATGGGACAGACCAAGTAATCCAGCCAGCTAGCCACCTCACATGTCCTGAAGGTGCCGTCAGGAACTGGAAATTGCAATCCAGCATTTTACAGGAAGGAGCACAAGGAGAGTGTTTTTCTAGATTGGGGGGTGGGAAGGGAAGGGTGTTAAAATAAGCCCCAAAAAACCTGGGCGAAAGGAGCTGGATTAACCAAGTTTGGTCAGCCTGGCAGACTGTAAAGCTGTTCCTGCACTGCTGTTCAGTTCCCAGCTGTGGTATCCTGTTGAACCATTGTGTTGCTTTTGGGTCAGTCTCCAGTGTGCTGGCCTAAAGCAGCTGCTTGTTACCTTGCCAGCTGCAGGGGCTGCACAAGTGGTTATTGATACAAGCAAGGGTAAGCACATTTTCTTTGTCCCCTCTTTAGATACTCGTCAGTCATTGTGGGAACCAGCTAGTGCCTCACAAGGCAGCAATAAAAAGGCTAGCCAAAGAAAGGCTGGGCAGCCAGGAGACTGAAAAGAAATCCCTGGAGAAACTAAAAAAATGTCTGTTTGGTCATAACCCCACCCCAGCACCATCAGAAGTTTTCTCTCCAACATCTGCCTCTCAGCTGGCTAGACCTGTGACAGCAAACTGCAACTGCCTTCATACAAAGAGCTGCCTGAGCAACTGAATGGCCGGAGAACAGTGCCACAGCATTTCTTCCTCCGTATGTCCCTGCCATGAGGCTGCTTCCCAAGTGTTAGTGGTGCGCAGGTTTCTGCCATCAGGTGAGCAGCACATGCGAGTGTGGCAGGCAAAGACCAGTGGGGAGGGGTGACCAAGAACTGGCTGCATTTGCTCCTCTCGCATCACCTGCATACCTCCAGCAGCCCTTCATCTGGCAGGGGGCAGATGGGGAATGCTGTGTGTCAAGCAAGATGCTTTTTGGAAAGCCCCAGGCTGCTCTTCACCCACAGCACCTCTAATTATTTACCACCTTCTGGCAGCAGACCAGGTGCTGTGCCCCGCTGTCTCTGTCTCTACACTGTGCATCTTTGCTCCAGCTAGTGAGGCACCCGATTTTTCTGTAGCCCCATTTCATTGCTAGGACAAGGTCAGAAAACTTGCTTGACTGAACTTGGTCACAGGACCAGCCCCCTCCTTTCATTTTCTTTCCCTGTGCTGCATGCAGCTGAGATCACCACTAGTACTCTCATTTATTGCCTGCAGCCCTTTTCCCTGCAGAGCTGGACCCCCACCTCCAGACAGTTCAGTTTTTGCATGAATGTTGGGGTCATGAGGAAGCTGCTGGTGGTAGGAACAGGCTGAGAGCTCAGAGCCAGGCTCATGCTTGAAGCCATAAATGTGTAAGAAACCCCTGCTTGTTTTCTTTCCTTTTCAAAGTTTTAAACAACAGGAAAGGAAAAAAAAAAAAAAAACCCAACCTGTTTGTCTTTTGGCTGTTAAGCTATGAAAACAGCTGTCAGCACTGCTCCTAATGTTGTGGCTGAAGGTATTACAAAGGCTGACTGTGAAATACCAACTTAAACATAATACAGCAAGGTCCCCCACGCATGAAACTGGTGTGTTGCAGCTTCACAAAGCAAGCCATTTCCCTTACACTTTACTATTTTCAGTTGAGACTTTTTTTAAGGCCACTTATGTTCTGCTCCCTGCTGCTAAGAGGGTTTAAACACTTCATCTCTGCATCCAGGACCTTAATGGACTGCAAGTACAAATACAAACTTCTAAGCCCTATTAAAATTAAGCTCTGTGTGTGTCTACTGCAGTTTTTTAATCTTGCTCAGGGATATGTGCTGTACCATCCCTGCAGAGCACATGTCCAAGCCCAGCCTTACTCGGCTATGTCAGAGTTTCTTTTATCCTGTTTTCCAGTGCAGAGCCTTTGCTCTGTCAGATCACCCTGGACTGCTCGAGACCATGTGACTTAAGTGTCACCAGACTGTACTCTCCCTTGTTGCTGAAACTTTGCTTTATCAGAGTATTGCAACACTTAACGGTCCTGGGGTTTATTTGGCCCCATGGATATCATGCAAGCAGCTCTTTTGGTTTCCATGTCAGTGTTCGGTTCAAGTCCTGTGGCTGTGGCACTTCTGCTGTGGGGTTACGTTACCGAGTACAGGAGGACAGGCCTAAATAGAGCCTAACATTACTGCTGTTAATGAATAGAGGCAAGAAACTGGAACAGTCTTCAGCATTAAAAGAACAGGTATCATAGCTATTAGTTCCATGGATGCTCTGTAGTCACTAATAGCTTTAACCTTAGCTGCTGCAGTAGTAGCCAGCTGCATAAACCCAGCTGGGTGGGATTTATACAGAAAGAAGCAATTGAGTAATTTTACTCTGTGTGTAATTTTCTCTCTCCCACACCACTCCTAACCTGAGAGTCAACAGAAGTGCAAACTACCAGATTTAAAACAATGACAGTGACTGCAGCCTGTGAAAAAAAACATACCATATGGTTCCACGCTCAGAACAAAGCACAGCTAGTCAATTAACTAGCATGACTTTGGGATGTTCATCCTCCCCAAATTAATTAGAAAAAAAAGCAGAAATAGTTTGATTACCCTTTCAAACCAGCTTAAGGTCAACTGCAGGAGGCAAGGATACTACAACTGTTGTCCTACTGCTTTCAATAGCATGAAAAGCCACACTTCCAAATCCTAAGCTAACATTTTCATAGCCCGTTTGTGGATGCTTGGCCTGCATTTTACATACCAGAGCCGTGACTGTTTCTCTATGCACATGATATTGGACTCTACGCAGGTTCTTTCCAGAAGCACAAACAAGCTGCTTTAACAAATCTAACAGCCATTTGGACTATTACCTTTCCTAGCCAAGCTTTCTTTTGGCAAACCTCTTCTGAAAGATGTCTTCAGTGCAGTAGGTCCAGATGACTCCATTTTTCTTTTGCTAGGTCTCAAATGGGGTTGCAAGTAGAACCAGGAAGCAAAGACATTTGTTCACCTAAACCACAATTAACCACATGGGAGAAAGTAGTAGTTTAGGCATTTCAGACACTTCTCTGGATTGTTTGAACTAGCCCTAGCTCCTCCCACTTAACAATAGCAGTGACCCACGCTGTAACCGCAGCTGTCACATTCCACAGCCAGCGAGCAGAGGCCCACCAGGGACACCTCGCAGGTCCCAGGCTTAGAAGAATAGGGTGCGTCAGCTCTAGCACTGCCTCTGCATTTGGTAGGTGACATGTGCCCAGCTTTGCTGCAAGGACAACAGATTTGACTTTGGCCTTGT